GTTGGTAAACAATCTATTTAGCATCTGAAATTCAGCACATTTATCAAATGAGTTTTATTGCAGTCTAATTCTATGGTATTTATTTGGAAACATATTCTTTTTAATATCAGAGGAAAAGCAGTAAATTTATCTTCCAGAATACTTGGTTAGTTCTGTTTATAGCACTTTGATTACAGTAAGCACACATTTATCTTCCAGAATACTTGGTTAGTTCTGTTTATAGCGCTTTGATTACAGTAAGCACAATATGCCTCTATGTTCTGAAGTATGAAGAGGTATTAAAGTAAGTTTTCAAATTTAAAATTATTATTCTTTTTGGCACTTATGCATAACCTTCTGCAGCTGTCTTCACACACAGCACAGTTTTTCATCTTGTGTCCTGATCTGAGGAGAAACAGATTTGCTACTATGTTTAGCATTTTCCCAAATGAGTAGAATTAAACTAAAATAGGAAAGTACTGGCACTGAGACACAGCAATCACTGTCATAGCTAGCAACTGAAAACAAGTGAAAGGGTGATAATTTGAAGAATATTCTGATCATAAATGTATGCAATAACAATAGGAGATTCATAATGAACTTGCATCTAAATAATGGATTTTTTTTTTTTTTTTTTAGTATCAGGGGATATAAGTGAAGAAAATGATAGATAGCTTTTTGTACATGGCTACCTTTACATTTTTATAAAATATACTTGGAATTTAGTCTGCAAAACTTTTTTTTTATTATCTATATTTAATAAAATAAAGTAGTTTGAAGATTTACTGTTTGCGGATTATGCTGTCTAACAGTTCTCTTTAACAATGAGGTGTTAATTGGCTTTTTATCAAGCATTTCCAGAGTCATGGTCATGCTTACTACAATTGAGAGCAGAAAACTAATCCTTCTTTTTATAGTAAAATAATGAATAGTATTCATAAAAACAATGATAATAATAATGAAAATGTAGTATGTAGTATATATAATTTATTAAGCTCTGCAAAATGGCCTCCAAGCTGCAATGTATACAGGTATCTTATGAAAACATGCCTAGAGTGTAGATTAAATTACTTGGACTGATCATTTCTTAGCATTCATGTTCTATTGGACTAGTAGCCTTGATAAAATAGTGGCATAAACTCATTTTGCAGAAAGATATGGAATCAAAGTGGCAAAGGGTATTGGTTTAGTAAACAGAAAAAGGAAATGTCACCTAGCAGACTTTTCTCTCTGTGGACATTTCATTGATTTTAGTTGACTTCTGAAATTATATGACAGTGTTCTTTTATACTCTATAAATATTGTAAGGGTTGAAAAAGGCGAGATACATATTTTTCAAGTGTGATCGTGCCCTATACACTATAATTTGGCTTATTTTTCTAAACACATAAATACATGGGTCAGGTGTCTACTGGAATGTGGTGATAGCTACGAGGCCAAATCTCAGAACCCCAGAGTATTCAAAGTGTATTTAGAAAGCCCTAATTTATGAGGGAAATGTTTGGTTTATTTTCCAGTTTAGTAATATTTTGTATAGATTTAGAATACATTGAGTGCATTCTTTCCTAAAAGCAGGCCATCCTTTTCAAGTTACTTCTTCTTTAATATCTGTTGCTGTGAGAAATCATTAGGAGGCAAGACTGGGTTTTTGGGAGTTTTGGGTTTGGGCTTTTTTTGTTGTTGTTTTTTGTACTATAAATCCCCATCAGACTGTGTCTATTCTCATCCACCTTGAGAGGCTTTTCTCAAAAAAATTTTTGATCCTTCCATGGCATCTTTGCCCTGTATTACAGTTTCTCAGCAGATAATGAAGCATTTCGGACATCCTGTAGAGAAGTAGAGATGACCCATTCCTGAATTCACACCATGAGATATACATTGCTGTTTTCCCACAGACTAATGAATAACACAACATTCCACCAGTTTGTGCTGCCCTCTACACCTTTGCATAATGTGGAATTTCTTTAATATCATTTGTGCAATCCTTCACTGAAATATTTTGGTTCTTGCACAAGCAAAACATGTTCTGAGCCTCTTCTCCTGCCATAATTTCAGTACTTACTTTCTGGAGGGACTATATTCAGTGTTTTAGCAACAGTTCTTTCCTCAGCATTTTTATTCTGTTAGTGCTACATTCAGTCAGGTGTCTGCGACGTTGAAATTGCCCAAACCTTTTTGCAGTCAACTGTTTGACAACATGTTTTATTTCTTTTATTCACAATCTTGTATTTGAAGAAAGATTGATGCCTCTGCAGATACCATGCAGCAAAATGAGATTATAACATCCTAATTCTGTTCTGCATTCAAGAACAAACTGCTGCTCCAAGAAAGCAGGGTTCTATCATGTTGTAGCAGTGACTTGGGAAGATAAGCACCATCACGCCTTCCTCTTTCTTTCTCTTGCTTTGTACACCCAGCACGATGCCATATTTGATGGAATATTCCTTGGATCACTTGGCTGTCTTGGCAGTGTCCCCTCCTTTGTGCCACCCCCTCTCCTCACTGCAGTGGCAGTACAAGAAGCAGAAAAGGTCTTGATGCCATGTAAGTGCTGCTTGGCAAAAACAAAGTAAAATCTGTATTATCAACAGTGCTTCCAGGCCAAATCGAACCTGTAGTGCTGTACAAGCCTCTGGGAAGAAAGTTAACTCTACCTCAGCCTAAATCATCGCGGAGTCCAAACCTAAGAGTCTCAAGCATCCCAGAAATTACAGGGTGCTCTTTTCCAAGGATGCAGTGGCCTTGATAATGCAGGGTACTGATTTCCAAGCACCGTGTCCTGCTGGAAGGATTAATCAGAGTTTTGCTGAAATGAGGCAGTGCAAGGGAAAAACCTTAGCCCTACATGCTTTTCTCCAATCTCTAAGGATAGTTATGGTCTACATTTTATGAGATGATTGTTGCATGGAATGTGGAATTTAAGTGCCTGCAGAACTGTGCCAAGCAGGGGGGTCCGTTCCTTGCCTGCCTGAGCAAGATCCAGCTGGGTGCTTGACTGCTTTTTGCAAGGAGAGGTGCACTGTGGGCTTTAAGTCTTTGGAAACTCTCTGAGGCAGAATCTTTCTTCAAGCTCTCACTAGTCCAAGCGAGTTCTGCTTTGCCTCTTAGACAAAACCTAGTGCCAAAGCTCACTGCAAAAATCTTTCCTGCTGTGGTTGAGGCATGATGTTACAGGCCTCATTCCTGTATTTGCTTGTGCATGCTTTCCAGAAGACATTTTTGTAATAGTCTTGGCTATGGGACCTTGGTATTTTTCTTTTTCCACTGTGTATTGTACTATTTTATTCTAAGTTTAAAAGGAAAAATTCAAAAGGTAGCAACAGTGTAAAACTGCGCTGACAAAAAGAACAATGTAACAAAAATTTGAGGTACCATAGGAAATGCCATATTGTTTTTAAAACCATTTTGTTAAATTAAGACCTTGCTTTGATAAAATAAGTGTTGCTGATAGTTAAAACCATATTTTTTAGAAGCAGATACTTTTGCTAACAGTAATGTTAAATATGTACTAATATCATATTCAGTGCTGCAGGCTGTATTCTGGGATGTGTTAAAATTTTATTTTCAGCTAATGTACCTAAACATGAATCTGCTAGTAGATAGTAAAACTCTTCAGTAGAATATAATAAAGAAAACTTCCATGACTTTTCCCCTAACAGAGATAATGTGAGTTCTGGCTTTTTTATAAGTTTGGATCTTTCAGAAGATCTATAGTAGTACAGAAGTAGTGCGTAGGTGGCCAGAAATGGTGTAGCTCTTTCTTTTGCAGTTGTTTTAAATATCTGCAATATTGATGCACATGTGTCTTGTTTCTTTTTCCAATTCTGTTAGAGCAATATAAGTACTTTGGAAGATTATAATTATTACCTTCTATGTGAGGAAAATGGGATCACACTCTACTTTTTTTGTCCTGGGTTTTTGTGTTTATTTATAAATACAACAATTAGTAGTGGCAGAGTGCAAGTTTATCATACAGGTTATACTCTTTAGAACTTCTGAACTCTACAAAGTCTAAAAAATTTCTGCACTATTGCTGCTATTACCTGATAACTAGAGGTCCAGTTTTTTTTATTTTTAGAGTAAGTGTTGTGACTATACCACCAGATTTCCAAAAGTTTTCTTGTCATGTGGCTTGTGATTTTCTAGGTTTTTTTTTTTCATTTTTTCTTTCAATAATAGTGCTCCAAATTAGTAAACTTCGCATACTAAATGTTTCCATGCTAGAAGGATGTAAAAATAGAGTTGTTCTGCTACAGTTGTATAACAAGCTGGTTAGTTTACTTTTCAAGGGTTCAGTCTATTAATTTGAATTTCTTCTCTAGGATGTTTATCAGAACAACCCAGATCTTGATCTTTCTTCTTCAAATATGACATTGAGACTTAAGTAAACTCATGAGATTTCCTGGGGACAGCTTGAAGCTTGTCTCCTGGACATGGATTTGGGTACAGTTTTAGCTATTAGGGTCAGTTTCGTGCAGGTCAGACTGAGTTACAGTAGTTATTTCGCTAAGTGGTAACCATATTCTTTCCTCCCCCAGTTGATACCAGAATTGCTGCTGCTGTAGCTGATGTGGGGCAAAAGATGTATGGATAGGGAGTGTCCTTTCTTTTTCCTCTGGATGTCTGTTGTGCTTTCTTTTTCATCTCTCCAAGATCAAGAGCTCTGCAATAATGCTCTAAATTGATATTTCTCTAAAATTACAACATTTCATAGCTGCTTCTCAAATGAAAAGGAATGACCTGATAGGATCTTCAGTAAAAAGAGCTGAAAGATTCAGAAAACAATTAAATGGACTTCTGTGCAGGGAGCTATTCAAATTTCTATGCAATGTTTTTGGATACATTAATTTCTTTATGTAGCAATTCAGGAAATGTTATTGAAAATACCACACATGACAAAGAAAAATGGAGTTTCATTATTTGAATGTAATTATCTCACACTATGTGAAACAGCCTCTTCTTGTCATGAGCGGAATAGAAGCGTTAAGCCTTTTATAACATCTCTTTTGATGTTTTTCTAGGATGGAATAAAAGATGAATGCTCAGTGCTGAAGCTGCAGCTGAAGGAGAGAGATGAACTCATAGCCCAGCTTCGTGAGGAGCTGGTAAGCAGGAGAAGCAATGGGGTTTTTTTCTGGGTGGTTTTGGGTTAATTTCTCTGATAATGTCACTCCAAGGCCAGATATTAAAGAAATACAATTTCACACCTGCAGCAGAATTACTAGCCTAAGGCTATGTTAATCATTCAGAAACACATGATATCACTGACTGTACTTTTCTAGGGATTTGGCAGCCTCTGAAGTGGTTACTGTCTAGGTTCACTGCTTGTAAAAGTTGCTTTGAAGACATTGTGTTGACATTTGTCTGATCAGAGGGAGAAAAGCACAGCACTGTATGCATATGCCAGAAATCTTGAAGGGCCATGCACATGCCTGATAAATTGTCAGTACTTCTCCCGTGAGCTGCTTTTCACATCTATGAGATTCTTCAGTAGAAAAGGAAATAAGTTTTTTTTTTCTCTCCATAATAGATGTTTTTTGCATAAATTAATAAATATTCTTATAAGTGCTGAACCTTTACTTAGCACATGAGCTACTAATGCTTGGCTACTACTGCTTTAAGGGTTGATAAAATACTTTCCAGTGACTGAAGCAAAATACGTGATTCAGCAATTGAAGAAAAAACCTTAACAGGTGAAAATGCATTTTATTATTATGCTCAGGCTGTGGTGACAGAATTTTAAGATTGCTTTTTTGATGGAATGTGGTTAAAGCATGGATGTCTTCAGTATTTTCAAATAAATGAGAGGGAGTTTTCACCTCCTCTATCACTGCATGCAAATCCTGTAGGGTCACCACCTTCAGGAGGACATTCAGCACATAAATTCTTTCCATGAAAACTGCAGCTGTGTGCACACCTAGGATTTTGTCTAAGCACCCTTTCAGACAAGGGTTTGTTTCCTGAATTAGATCTTAATTTGCTGATCTACTTCAGTGGAGTTTTATGCCTTTCTGTCTTGTGTCTCATGCCTAGCTCAGAACTCAAACAGAATTAATTCAGGTCTTGCTATTACTGTATTACTGCATTTTTTTATACTCACTAAAAGCAGGAGTACACTTTTATGCCAAATAACTTGAGTTTCAAGTTGCATGGGAAAAATGTTATCCTGCCCAAGACTGAAACATTTCTTTGCTATATTAACATCTGCAAAATAAATACACATCATTAATATTCTTTGTTTTTTATTTTGCTACATTAAGAAATGATGTATTGTGTGATTATTATCTAAAAATTAAATGAAAAATTGTGACACAAGGTGCGTCAAACTTCTCCACAGTCCTGGAGCATTAATTTTATATCTGTCTAGTTCAGAACATATGCTATTTAACTGGTGGACATTTTTGTCATTGTAAAATTACCATGTATTGATGCAGGGAGCTGTAGCTCATTTGCTGTTAACTGTTGTCAAAATTCATCTGTGTATACATCATTTGATGAGAAAAAGACCCACAGGGAACCATCATAATAGAAAAAAAGTACAAGTTCTCAGGGCCTTTCTGTATGATTGAAAGTATCGTGGATTCAATCAATGATTAATTGACTTCAGTTTTGACAGTCTTAAGACTTGTAAAGGAAAGGAGGTGGGATACTTGAGACCATGTTTAGTCGTTTGAAATTAAGCTTTGAAAGGACTCAGTAGATCTGATTTACTCCTTATTGAACTGACTAAAGCCAGGTTGGGAGGAGAACATAATAGAACTATTTTAGTTTATGAAACCTAGAAAAAAAGTGGGAATACCATAGGGAAAAAAAGTGTTTGTTTTTTGTGGTGTAGTTGTGGTGGTTTTTTTCGTTTGTTTTTTGGGTTTTCTTTTGTGTGTTGTTTTTTTTTTGAGTTGTCTAAGTACAGTCATAGATGTACTTCTAAAATACCTACTGTATCTTCTGCAATACTGCACATCCAGTGCCCTTTTACTGGAGCTGCCCTGGGTCCTGCCACCATGGCATTGATGAAGTTGGCTCCTGATTATGTGAGATACTCTTAGAAACTTTTTTCAGTGTGCTCTCGAGGGAAAGTAAGCTGTCTTTTCGAGCTGTAAATTAATTAAATTTGTAATGGTTGCCAGGAAATTCTGATTATGTTTTCTTAGCTTGTATAAAACTCACCAAAAATTGATGTGAAACATGCATATTCTGCAAATGCTGCATTTACTTGAATGTTTTTGAGACTAAACATTTGGAAAGTAAATGTTTACAAAAGTTAAGAGCAGTAATTTTTGTCTAATGAAACTGCATGTATTTTCACATAGCTGCAATTTATTACAGACATAGCACATAGAAAACTAAAACTTTTGTTCTTGTATCTTGGGGCAGACCATGTTCCATTTCTCATTCTTAATATGGAAATAGAAAATTTGTAAATGCAGCTTGCCTGCCTTGAAATCATGGCATTCTGATGCTAATTCACAAATAGCACATAAAAATTTATTTGAGTAGGAATCAGTTTTATGCTTCTTGAGAAGTACATGAAAATTTGTACTTTCCAGCATTCAAGTTGAATGTTTGCATGTAGGTTTAAAACCTTTGCTTAGCTGGTTTTACTGCAAAATTCTTCAACTAACCCAAAGTGAACTTTGGGCAAATTTTGGCTCTCTGGGAATTTTTGCTTCTTGCTTTCCCCTAGAAATTCTAGGCTTTTTGAGTAGTTTTCCCCTCTGATTTTTTTTCCCCCGTAATTTTTAAATACTTTTAAAAAAGCATTTCTACCTCATTTGAGCCTATTATGAAGGAAACCTTGAGCTGAGGAAAATGTGAAGAGAGTGTGAGCTGATGAAGCTTCAGAACTTGCAATTGTTACATAGTTTTTTAAGGGGGAAAAGGCTACATACTAGAGAAATGAAAATAGGGGTTTGGATGCTCAGTTGCAATACCCAGGTAGAAAGGATAAAATACAATGGTATTTTATGTAAAAATATATATTATATATATAGTATGTACATCATAGATATATATAATACATATGTTATTTATTTATTATATAAAATAAATGGTAGGAGCCATCACCTACCTCCTAATAAACCAAAAATAACACAGTCTTTTGCAGGTTTGTAGTTTGTTCTCTTTTTTAGTGATTAGTTTTTATTGACTACCTTTGTCACCAGAAGTGTGACTGTCTTTGGAGAAATAAAGATAGGTAGGTAGAGAAGTTGAATTAATTCTTCCATCTTCCATTATCTCCTGAAAAATGCCTGTTTCGGAAATGTCAGGTACACCAACCTGCTCTAAAGCTACCTGGAAATTGTAAACTTCAGCAGGAATTGAAAATTCGGGTTCAAACCACCACTTTTCTCAAAATACTCATTTGTGAGAATGTTCTCCAGGGAATCAAATTAAGCATATCCATTCTGCAGGGAATGTGCTCTTCTTTTCTCTTCTTTTTTTTCACCACTAAAATAACCAAAATAAGGAAACATCTTCATTTTCATTGGCATGAAGATATTTGTAACCTCAGCTGTCTCATACCCAGGTCTGCCTGCAACTGCATCTTTCTGTATATTTTCCCAAATTAATCTTTTTGCACTGCAGTGTGAGCTTTTACAATGACTTTAAGCAGAAAATATTTTCATGCTATATTGGCAAAAATAACTGAGTGCTGTTTACAGTAACATTTATTCTATTGCTGTCATTGGTACAGCAACATTCACACTGAAAAATGAGAGTTAACACCATTATCCTTTCATCCTTGATTCCCTGTGTGACTTAAGTTGTGTTGTGCCGCTGAAATGAAAAATGTAGTGAGGCAGCTTGAGTAGATTCTGAGTGGAACTGGAGGCAAAGTTAGGTCAGGAAATTAATCCCCCTTATAGCCCAGCTGTTGGGAGTACTTTTCTGCCATGGAGGTAGCTCTTTGTCAAATGCTAGACTTTCTACATTTATAGAATAGTGAGGTACAGTGCTACCTAAGTGGATTTGAAGTTACTCCTTTCAGGCTAGTTATTCTGGAGTTAGCTCAACAAAACATGGCTGCCCAATTTTTATTTTTTAAACTTTTTTCCCTTGTCTTTTCAAATCATAAATAAGCTCTACCTCCCTGCCCAAAACTTAGGTTAAATGATTTTTGGTGAGGAGTGGCTTTTGTATTTGTTTGTTTAGTTGCTGTATCCTAAATACAGCGTATTCCTAGAGGGCAAAACTGATGATAAGCTTAGCTGTTTTCTGTAGGTTGATTTCAATAATGGGCAATTAGCCAATTGCTCAGTTTTCGAAGTATGGTGAGGATGAGTACTTTTTATTCAACTTTGAAGTGTAACAGAAAACCTTAGATGCATTTGAATCCTGCTGATGAACTGTTGATGAAAAACACTTACATTAAGTGTAAAAATCACCTCAAAATGTAGTTATGCCAATTCAGTTTCCTTGAATTTTACATTCTTAACATCACATCTTTGCCTTTGTCAGGCAAAGAATGAGATTGGGATAAAAATGTCATGAGCACATGGGGAAAATAATTTTTTGAGTTGTTTTTAAAAAGAGTAATTTTCATTAGTCAAGTCTACTTTTAAAATTTTAAAAACAGTTGTCCTTGAAATTTTAAAGACATTAGATCATTCCCATTTGAAAAGGATAGTAGTCCTTATTTTTGGAAAAAAATCTAGATTTTTCTTTATACTGATTACCCATTCGCTTTACAATCTGCTGGTTTGTAGTCTTATTTCATGTTGGCTGTTTTTATGAGAGTGTGTTACAAGACACATGGATAATTTACATAAGAACCAGCATTTGTAAGTAGTTTCAAGTCCTCTTTCTTCACCATATTTAGGAAAAATTAGGAGGAGAAAAGAAATAGATGAGGTGTGTTTAAACATTATTAAAGGGTCAGGCATCTTCTCCCTTTTTTGCAGGAGAATTAATTGCATGTATTCCAGAAGAGGCTTATCTGAGCAGTAATTACTCTCTGAATCAGTTCCACAAGACAGACATAGACATGGAGTGTGAAAATGGCAATATCCTACAACCGACAATGGGGATTAAGCTCCAAATCCTGGTCTACACCAGTCCCTTGATGAAAAGCTGCCAGTCAGATAGGATCTTTAACATTCCTGGC